ACCAGTCCTCGAGACAAAACAATATTGCCTGGATCCTTCTTGACTGTGGCGCTTTTCTTCCCTGTCAGTCAATAGCGAGCATTGGCCTGATGTCGGCTGACTTTCGGTCACATTATTACTTCAGTAAACGTACTCCTGTGACCCAAAAGAGAAGTATAACCAAAAAAAAAATGGCTTTACTTCTCTTTTAAGTGAAGAAAAATCCCGTCTTCGTTGTCAGGTGAAGAAGTGATCCTTTTCCTGTTTCATTATACCTAAGGTGTGTGTGTGGTGTGTGTGTTATATATAAGTAGATTTATTTATATGGTACCAACATCCCAAAATATAGCATATTAAAAATGACATATTGCAAACGGGTGTGGAATTCCTATCGCCAGACGCCTGGGACATGCAGTTTTGGTCCCCAGGCGATGTACATTTAGCCCGGCTCCGGAAAAGCAGAGCTAAATGTACAGTGGGGAGCCGCCGCTAGTTTTTATACAAGTGATCAGATCACTTGTATCAATCGAGCCGCGCAAATCGTGTCCGGGCTTGTACTAGCCCAAATGCTCCGATACCTTCCCAAATACCGGAACTTCAGGTCAAAGGAAGGTTTCCTCTGACCGGCAGTGCCGTAGGGGAACATGGAGCCAGCTTCCCGTGCAATCAGGAAGCGACTAATGACCCGGTTTCCTGATTGGCTGGGAAGCCGGCTTCCCTGCCAATCACCATTGAGCCTGCTTCCCGGCCAATCGGGTCATTACTCACCACCCAGTTTCCTGATTGGCCTGGAAGCTGGCTCGATGCTCATTGGCTGGGAAGCCGGTTTTCTGGCCAATCACAACCAAGCCGGCAAAACAACACTGAGTCGGCTTCACTGGCAATCAGGAAGCCGGGTAGCATATCATTACCCGCTGCCCGGTTTCCTGATTGCCCGGGTTGCCTGCTCCATGCCAGCGGAAGTACCGATATTGGTACCAGATTAATGACACCAATGTGGTTCTGTCAAAACCTACAAATGTTTATTCTTATATCATAACAACCATAAAAAAGAAATGTTAATCATTGTTATTTGTTACATTAATTACAGCCTCCTGCTTTAAACCACCAGGCTCGTATCTTGTACACTTATTGTTTCTTCACACATTTAGTTGACCATGTGTCCACTTCCTCAGGAGATGAATGAAGATATTGGTCTATGGTATTAAAGGCTCAGTTTGTTTTATATTTAAGGTAACACCCAAATTCAAGGGGTATCATGAAACATGGTCACATTGCAACCCCCCAACTTACTTGAATTGTGCAGTTCTTCTCTCTGCAGGTAGCTGCTGTTTTTTTAAATGGCATGGACATGATCTGTGAATGGAATGGAGAAACGACATGTCCCGTCTGCTTCCGCAGCAGAGGGACTTTTAGTTCTTAATGTGGCATCACTGCACTTGTAGTCCATTGACACTTCCTGTAATCCCAGACATCGCTCTGACATGACTGCATCCTAGGTGCGGGCTGAAAACTTGCCGCCTTTCCAAATCACTGTGTCCAATACATGCCGCACTCCAAGAGGTTTCCACCAAAACTATTTAATTCTGGAGCATCTGGATCCAAATCACTACATCAGGGGTAGCCAAACGTCGGCCTTCCAGCTGTGGTGCAACTACAAATCCCATGATGCATCTCTCTCCGGCAGTCATGTCTATGGCTGTGAGATCTTGCAATGCCTCATGGGATTTGTAGTTTCAGCACAGCTGGAGGGCCAGAGTTTGGGTACCCCTGCACTACACCAATCCTTAGCTTCTAAACATTGACACCTACTGTTACTGAATGTTTGTACATCGGTATGGACAGGAACGGGAGGAAGAATCTGCAGGAGCCAGAGCATTGCACCTGCGATCCACTGATCATGGTTGCATTGTTTCAATGCAAAAAAATTATAAATGCACATTTCTTTTATGAAGATTTGGGCGTTTTTTTTGTTGTTTTTCTTTAAAGGTGCTATTTCTTTTTTAATGCAACGCTTTTTCTAAACCGGTTGAAACCTCGGTCACATCACTCTGCAGAAAACAATTCCGTTCTTAAAGTGGGACCACAAGAGGCATATCATGGGTTGATGTCTTGTATAAATGGACTTTGTCAGATTCAACGGTAAAATTCATCTCCACAGAAGAGGTCCATCTACACTTACTGTCCGCTTTATTAGGTACGCCTCTTCAACTGCTCGTTAACACAGATATATAATCAGCCAATCACATGGCAGTAACTCAATACATTCAGGCATGTAGACATGGTCAAGATGGTCTGCTGAAGTTCAAACCGAGCATCAGAATGGGGAAGAAAGGTGATTTATATGACTTTGGACATGGCATGGTGGTTGGTGCCAGACAGGCTGATTATTTTAGGAACTGCTGATCTACTGGGAGTTTCACACACAACCATCTCTCGGGTTTACAGAGAATGGTCTGAAAAAGAGAAAATATCAAGTGAGCGGTGGTTCTCTGGGTGAAAATACCTTGTTGATGGCAGAGGTCAGAGGATAATGTCCAGACTGACTCAAGCTGATAGAAAGGCAACAGTAACTCAAATAACGACTCGTTACATCCGAGGTATGCAGAAGAACATCTCTGAACGCACAGCACATTGATCCTTGAATCAGATTGGCTACAGCAGCAGAAGACCACACCGGGTGCCACTCCTGTCAGCTAAGAACAGGAAACGGAGGCTACAATTCGCACAGGCTCACCAAAATTGGACAATAGAAGTTTGGAAAAACGTTGCCTGGTCTGATGATTCTCTATTTGAGCTGCGACATTCGGATGGTCGGGTCAGAATTTGATGTAAACAACATGCAAGTATGGATCCATCTTGCCTTATATCAATGGTTCAGGCTGGTGGAGCTTCACATCATGTATGTGCAGCTGACAATGCATGAAGCTATTATGTCAATATAAACAAAGCTCTGATGTTTCCATCACCCTATCCACTTCCGTCCATCTATGCCACGAAGGATTAAAGCAGTTCTGAAGACAGAAGGGGTCCAACCCGGTACTAGCAATGTGTACTTAATAAGTGGCCAGTGAGTATATATGCAAAGGTTTAAAGGGTACATTTTGCCCAGAGTGGGGCTTTAAGTGATTTTAAATGTTTATCTGCATATGTTTGTGCTTTCTATATTGGTCTGTAAAATTAAAGATCGTTTCTTGGTTATAAAGTTTATTTTAGGGATGTTACAGGTTTACTTCTCTTGCCTAGCTGGAGATATCTCCACTATTGGGATTACTATGTTTTGAAGTAATGGTTAAGTGGGAGGTAAACCCCAATTAGACAATGATAATTACTAAACCCGTATAATCAATGAAGGATACTAACTCTAAACTGTTTTTTGTATTTATATCCGTCCATAAATCTCTGAAGAGCAACGTCGGCTTAATGATATGATTTGTGAAGCAGCATAGCAAAGCATCGTTATTTCTCTTGCAGCACAAGTCACTCTAGCAGTTGGCTTCCTTTGAGTATTTTGAAGCCAGTAGATGTTTTGGCAGATGTAAATGACATTTTTATTTTTATCCTGCGTTATTGCTCTGTGATCATTGCTGGTCGTCTTTTCTGAGCCAATTACCCTTTGGCCAGAAAGTGAATTTGCGGGGGTGATGTAGTAATGTAGCCAGTAATAAGATTGTCGTAGACATTACATTTGTAATGTCCTCCAATGATCTGTCCTGGGAATAATGCTGACCCTGACCCTTCTGAAATAGTGGACCATGTCATGAAAGGGCAAAACAGAAAAATGTTACGGTGATGGGGCCCACCAGGCTGAACCACTGATTGGTGGTCATGTAGTGTCGTAACAAAAACCGTAGGTTTGACATTGATCCAATGGCCCAAAGTCATTTCTGCTTTTGGAGTGACTTAGCAGCTTGAGGGGAAGTGCTTCCAACATCCATTCATAACTGTGTGGAAACCTGTAATATCTTACATTAAGCCAGGGGTAGGCAAATTCTGTACTCCAGCTGTTGTCGAACTACAAGTCCCATGAGGCATTGCAAGACCCTGTGAACCACATGAATGACTCCCAGAGGATGTGATTTATAGTTTCTGCACAGCTGGAGTGCCAATGTTGCCCACCCCTGCACTAAGCAATGCATACTGGCTGTACAGTTTTGTATATCTGCCTTATAAGCTGTTGTAACCATTGACAAACGCAGCCTTCTGGGTATGTGATATTTCCCATTACAGTACCTTGCAAGCATTGCTTGGTGACTGAGTGACTCTCCCAGGCAAAAGTACTCCCACACAGATGGCAGACCTATGGAATTATCATCCTTCAGTATACGGGTGCTTCAGAGTCACTTTGGGAAGGTAAATGGCGCTAAGAAATGCCCTTTTATGCTGTTATGTCCTTAAATATCATTGGTTGTCAACTTACAAAATAGAGTGTCCCATATGTGGCCCCTGATGTCTCCAAAGGGTAACATATAATGATATGTAATACGCAGACTCACTGTAATTCTTGTACAATCAGCCGCACAGAAATCGTGTCCATAAAAATTCAGCTTTATTGTGATAGATTCCACATAAAGTCCAACGTCAAACATATTCTAGCAAATACACCACCATAGTGTCTCTCCCCCACCAACGGCTCTCATGCATTTCACCACCTGGGCTTAATCATAGAGACTCACTGCTCTGATAACTTCTTGCCCGACCTCATCCATGTCACTTCCTGTGAGTACAGGGCGTCATGGACACGCCCCCTGTGGCGACAGTACTGGAAAGCATTGTGCTCATACTTTTATTAGGTGAGCATTGCACTGCCCAAGAGTAAAGAATGGCCACCGCTTGATGATGAAATGTAACGATGGCGGACTGTCTAGAACACTGCGGTATCGAGGTATGCATAAATGACATGCAGTGGGGATGGAGGGAGGGAATACAATTATCTGGAGCTGGGCTTTAATCTTGTTTCAAAAACTGGCAGCCATGTCATTGAGTGCAGCAGTAACCAGATCTTTGTATGTCTCCTGCAGGCGAGATGCTTCTTTGTGAAGCCAGCAATGTGTTCAAGTGTTCTCAGGAGGAAGGATCTCAGCGCGGCGTCTGCGGGAGACTCATCTGCACCAACTTCAAGATCACCTTTCTGTGTGATGAAGCGCCAGACGATAATGTGAGCAAAGTTTTCTATTTGTGTCTACGCCTTACAGCAATAAAACCAGTTTTTAACCAGTGACCTCACCGCTCCCAGCTTGCCAAGGCAGAACCAGTCCCCTACCAGTTATTAGAAGACAATACAGACCATTGATGCATTTGTTGCTGTCATACATACCTAAAGCCAGCCAAATAGAAAGAAATGTAATATCACACATCAAATTCATGTCAGTTGTGAAGAAAAGAGCAACAGAGAGAGCACAGTCAGAAATAAGGGCTGTCCCTTTAAATTAGAGTTTCATAGCCAGGGGTATGGGTATTGATTTATCTGTTCTTAGCTGCCCCTTAGTAAGGTAAAGCCATGCTAGTGACGTCTTTTGAAGTCACCTGGTACCTAATATGACTGGTGATGATGACGACTTGGATAGTCTGGTAAAGGGGGGCTTGGGACATATTGGCCAATTTATTGGGGGTCCGTAATCTCAAAAAGATATAGAAATCCAGCTGGAAATGACAGTCAGGTCAGAGTTATCTGATCTCCTATAAAAAATAAAACTCCCTTACAGTGGGGCTGTCCTTGCCCTGCAAGGGTTAATCGCTTGTCTGTCTAGACCAGCCTTTCTCAACCAGGATGCCGTGGCACACTGGTGTGCCTCTTGGTCGCCTTTAAGGTGCTTCAAAATTTTGTGGGACTGTGATGTGAAGGGGGCTCCTGATGAAAAAGGGGAACTCTGATGTAAAAGGGAGGGGATATATGATATGAAAGTGGGGCTTCTGATGCAAAGGGTGACTCTGATGTGGGTGGGCACTTCAATGTGAATGAGGAAACACACTTTTTTGGGTGTTTTTCCATAGTGTCCCCCATAAAATCTGACATTTTAGACTTTGGTACCTCCTAGACTTTTTCATACTTTTAAAGGGTGCCGTGACGGAAAAAAGGTTGAAAAACGCTGGTCTAGGGTACATGTGTAAAGGACCTTTAGCCACCTGATCCCTGCTCCCCCGGGCTTCAAGACCGGCACCTGCAGCCTTTTCCCTGTTATGCCCCAGAGGTCAGAGGCACGCCGATGTCCTCATGATTTATGCGGGACTCATGAAGCCACCGAGGGTCAGTCCACTAGTTGGAGCAGAAGAGAGAGAAGTGAGCACTGACTGCAGAGGGAGTAGGGGGTCAGGTAATTAAAAGTCCTAAAATTCCACAGGTACCCTGAATGAGCAGTTAAGGGGTAACCCCATTGCAAGGGGAGGTTTGATGTTTTTTTTTAAATCTGTATGTACTGTATATGTATGCTATATCTGCTGTATAAAAAGTTAGTTAAGCACAAAAAAAAATGTAAAAAAATTAAAATACCGTATTAAAAAAACATTTTATAACGTCACCCCCTGCCCCCCCACTCCTCACATATATGCCTAAACTCCAACTGTAAACTGATGACCTGTAAGGGCTTTTAAAGCGATGCTCATAGACAGTTTTGGGTACTGCAGTTTTAGGACTCGACATGTTTGGTATCTATTTATTTGATGTAACCATCTTTTATATTTTACCAAAAATTGAGGATTATATTTTGTCTCTGTGCACTAAAATTCATTTAAATGCATTTTTTACTGAAAATTTGAGTTTGAAAAACAGTTGGGCAAATATCATGTGACATAAAAAATTGCAACTGCCGCCTTTTTATTCTACAGGTTCTCTGCTTTGAGAAAATATATAATTCTGGGTAGGAGGGGGGATTAATCTTCAGGCCTAAAAGGTGTGTTTTAAAATGCATGGAAAGAATTTTGCAAAACAGTCTCTGGCCGTGCAAGAGTTAAATATTAAATGATCACAACTGCTCTAAAAGGGAGGCTATACGGTATAGCTGCAGGCAAGGTATGGCTTCTCTTGGGTCTGCCTATTGTCTGTTTCATCATTATTTATGTGTTGTTGGTTTTTCTTTTCCTTTTTTTTTTTCTTTCTTTTTTTCAGGTACCTCGCTGCTGGAGCTCCTGAAAGCTGTCCCCACAGGGACTTCTGCCACATTCTGGGATTACTGTGACAAGAACCTATGGATTTCCGTGGCAGGAATCCCAGGTGGCCTCATTCAGATGAGGCCGCTCTACCAATTTAAGTTAATGAGAAGGTGACAGCGGCTGCATCTGTCGGCGGCATTCTGTGTACATGGTACAGTTTTATGTACAGTTTCAGATAGAGGATTGTCCCTGAACACATCCAGCGACAGTCATCTATCCCAAACAGCATGTGTGTACCACGTATGATAACATACGGATTGCCACTAACAGATGCGGCCGATCTAAACCTGTCATTAACTTCAGCGGGTTCAGCGGCCACTTGTGTATGGGGACACCTGGGATTCCTGCCACAGGAATACGTAGGTTCTTGCCAAAGGGGTCCCAGAATAGCGCATGTGAATGTAGCCTTGTAACCCAACTCTGTGTTCCTGCCCCCTTATCCAACCCCCTGCACTTATTTGTTTAAAAAGCTCATTATGCATTCTAAAGTCATATTTATTTACGCCATCCATTTAGGGCAGAGCAGCAGGTTTGCCTTAAAGCCTAAGTGCACTTTAAAACAAATGCCTTTGTCCTTTTTTTTTCCTCCCGACTTAACCTCCACCCCTTAGATGCATACTTACCTCAATCCAATGGCAGCGGTTCTGCTATTTGTTTACATCCAGCACCTCCAGTCTTCACTGTCACGGTATCATATGTGCATTACAGCCCTATAGACGTTTGTTGGAGCATCTCTGGCCTCAGTACACAGCCTCGTGGAAATCTATAGGGTTGTAATGCACAGATGTAGCCAGGACCATGGAGACTTTCGACACTGGATGTAAACAAAAAGCACAGTCGCTGCCGTTGGATCAAGGTAAGTATGGATCTGTGAAGGGGGAAGTGTAGGTCAGGTTGAGTTGGCTTAAAGAAAAAGGGCACTTATCCTTCAACCCTACTTTGCTCCAGCAGCACATACTCTCCTTTCCTTCACTTCCCTCATTTGACTGCTGAGAGGAAAACATCTATTGCTTTTAAGTATACTGGAGATCACGTGACTTCATCCATGTGACCGCTCTGGTATTTGCTGATTGGCCTACTGCAGTGATATAGGAACTGCAAAAGATCTCAGTCTTGTGTAAGTTCTGCCTTGAGTCAGTCAGAGCTTACATAGAGTTTCCTGTCCTCTACCTCTGCATTCGAATGTAGGAGTCAAGAAAATGGAGTGTGTAATGCTGGGAAGGGTGCTGGACCCTTTCCAGCTTTGCCCTGCGTGGCCCTGATGGCATGCATGTTCCAGAAGTAGGTTGGTTAAAGACAGCCATCATTGAGGACCGCAATGGCAGCTGCATATTTCTCTTGGTACTGGCCTCATATCATATACTGGCCTTATATATGGCCATCATATGAGGACCTACCTGAACTACCCAACCAATTTCAGGCGGGGCCTTGCACTACGTAGTTGTTGGCATCTCTGAGCCCTCGTTCACACCTGAACGTTTTGTAGCGCGTTCTACGCTCGACGAACGCTCTACAAAACGCTCAAAAATATAAATCCCATTGTATTCAATGGTCTCGTTCCCACCTTGGCGTATTTCCGCCCGTCCCTAACGCACTACAAAACGGCCCACGCCTGAAAAGGTACAGGTACTACTTTGGGCGCGTTTCCATTGGGATACAGCCAAGTCTACAGCGAATCGCGGTAAAAAAAACACGTGACAGACGCGCATATGCAATACGCCTAGGTGTGAACGAGACCTAAAGGAGATTTTACGATGAGATTGTAACATGTGAGATTTAGAGGGACTTTCCAATGTTCTTATAACTCCCTTTTAGTAAATCTCCTTCCTATAGGTGTGTTTTTAATGGTTCTGACTTCAGACCGCACGCCATATTCCTGACTAACTCCTAGCAGAGGATTTGGCATGACCCACAAAAACATATGACTTCTTGGCCAGACTGTGTTTTCCTGTCTGCCTGAGAGTGGCGCAGTTCTCCGCATGTCCTTCCAGCTTCTTGGTCTTCATGATCTGACTTTTGTGTTTCTTCTCATTGTCTTTCAGATGCCAGAATTCAGGAACAGGATTGTTGGTGAAAATGACATCACCCTGCAGTGCGTGGACCAGCTGTATGGAGGTGAGGGCTTCAGGAGAGCTGCACCCAGAGCTGCCAATCTCCAAAGCATAGGAGCCTAGAGCAACCAATCAGAATTCCTCTTTCATCAGTTTTGAGCAGTCAGTTGAAAGAAAGGTGACTTCTGATTGGTGGATTGGTGCTGTCCTTTACACTCCGTTCACTAATGCATCCCTTCTCAGCCATCAAATTTTGGCGCAGCCCAATGCATTTCTATGGTGCAGGCAGGTGTGAAAATTGTTGAAAATGAAAGAAAATCCCAAATTTTGAGTTGCCACCGGAACAGGAATAGATGCTGAAACCTTCCAATGGGGACACTAGTTCTGGTGTCTCTGCTGACCATCAGGGATTTCCTCTCACTTACTGTTGTGTATAGCCAGCTTAAAAAATAGATGGTACAATCAGATTGGGACATGTATGATTATCTTGAAGCATACCTCCAGGCAAAACATGAAGGGAATGTATCAAAACTGGAGCAGACAAAATCTGGAGCAGCTGTGCATGGAAAGCAATCAGCTTCTCTATTTCATGTTAACTAAACAGACTGAAGTCAGATGCTGATTGGTTGCAATGCTCAGCTGCTCCAGATTTTGTCTGCTCCGTTTTTGATAAATTCCCTCAATTGTGTTAGTGTAGAAGGTTTAAATCTCTTTCTGGTTTATGTTGCCATGTGTGTTCCTATTGGGGAGACTTTATCTTGTTTCCTGGCCCCTGGTGACCACACAAGGTATGAGGAGGTTTCACCAACGGGCACTTGGGGATTAAAAAAAAAAGTTCTAACCTCTCCCCACTTTTCTTTTCGAAACTTTTTTTATTTTTTGCCCCCACTGGAGAGAGATTTCTCACTTCCTGTCTTCAGTGACCACATATGAGGGGAAGTCTCCCCAATGGTTAGAGATTCTACCCCGTATCTCACTCTGCTTGGGATTCCTGTGACAGAGCCTCATTGCAGCATGCTGATTTCATCTTTTTGTCTTTTCAGTGTTTGACGATAAGAAGAAAGTTCTTCTACCGGGGCAGTCGCTTAAGAAATATCCAGATAAGTTGATCATCTACTGCAAGGATTTCCGAGTGTTCTATTTCTGTCTGACGTACACTAAGGAGGAGGAACTGAAAAGGGTAAATGATCATCAACCTGCTTTTAGACCGTAATACGGTCAGCCTTTAAACCTTCCCCCCCCCCACGATATAGTAAGGGTTAATTCAGAGGTGGGCAGCAACCATCCTCCAGCTGTGCTTTAACTACAAATCCCAACATTCCTTTGCCTCTGGGAGTCATGCCTGTAACTGTCAGTCTTAAAATGCCTCACGGGACTTATTGCAATGCCCCATGGGGCTTGCAGTTCCACTACAGCTGGAGGCCCGGAGTTGCCCACCCCTGGGTTAAATGCTTCTTTAGTATAGGGGGTTGTAAGCTGGCCATGTACTGTTCACATTTCTCCCAAGTTCTTCAAGCTATGTGTGGCCCCGTCGGTGCCCTTCCATTTAACAAAAGTCAATATTTGAATTGACCTTTGTTGAAGGAGGTGGTCTGAAAATTCTCGGCCTATCAGTGACTGCTGCCAGTTAGTTGCATCTCTCTGAATACAATAGCCCCTTGGGGACGGGGTTACCCCATCCTCGCTGTTTGGGGGTGGATGGGGGAAAGGAGCATTTGTTTCTCATTCAGTTGCTCTTTAATGTCTCTTAGTTTTGTGGATTGTTTTATGTCCAAACATCAAAGATATATCTTATCCTATGTAGATGTACTGTAATCCATAAGCTGTATTTCTTATTTCTCAGATTGTCAGCGGGATCATTCATCACACTCTAAGTCCAAAGCTGTTGAAACGTCTCTTCTTATTCTCGTACACTCAAGCTGCCCCGTGTTACATAGGTAAGTGGCCCTGCTGGGGGTCTTCCGGAAGATCCCACCTCCTGCATGCATGCACTATGCCAGGGGTGGGCAACTCTGGCCCTCCAGCTGTTGTGGAACTACAAGTCCCATGAGGCATTGCAAGAGTGACAGTTACAGGCACGATTCCTAGACGCAGAAGCATGTTGGGATTTGTAGTTAAAGCACAGCTCCAGGGCTGTAGTTGACCACCCCTGCTCTATGCTAATTCCAAGCATTGCGTAAGTATAGAACAGTGTTACCTTCTCAAAATGACTGAAATTGAAGTTTGTCATCCACTGCTGGGGCAAGGTCCTTTTAGCACCAAAGGGGAGAAGGCCAAAGTGTGTCAACCCCCCTTTTCCCTTCCCCATAAAAAAAATGTTTTCCCACTTCCCAGCACATGGCCACCATTGCCCATTATAGAGCCTTTGTAGTAGGTAGGATCAGGGGCTAGCAGAGGCGGCAGCAGACAGAGGAGGAAAACATGTCTCCTGTGCCCCCTTCCAGCTCAACTGGCAGCCATTGATATTTAAAGGGCCAAGCTTCTAAAAAAAAATCCAGCAATCCAGATCTGCTCAGTGCACCAGGCTGGTCATAGGCAATGATGATATCATGATGTGGAGCATTGCACACAATCAGGGGGTTGTTTCTCTTTAGCAGGGGTAGGCAACCTCAGCACTCCAGCTGTGGTGAAATTACAAATCCCTTCATGCATCTGCCTCTGGGAGTTATGCCTGTGGCTATCAGTTTTGCAAGGCCTCATGGAACTTGTAGTTGCACCACAGCTGCAGTGCCGGGTTGCCTACCCTTACTCTATAGCAAGAGGGCAAGTGGTGTGCTAACTGACCATGAGCTGAGCAGTGAACGACATCAGCAGCATAAGTGACAGGTCCTGCACTTTTTACTCCCCCCTCCTGCAGAAGAAGGTAGTGCTTGTCTGCCTACTCCTCGGCCAGGCTGTGATGTCATCACTTTCATCACAAATACAATAAAAGAGCTTATTTCTCATTTAAAACCACTCTGCCAAAGGGGGGGTTTCTATGAAAGAAGAGTTATTATACTTGCCTGTCCTGCTGCCATTGACTTATCATTGCTGACCAATGAATGTTCAGCATATGACACACTGCTGGGATTGTCTGGTCCCCTGCAGCAGTGAGTTTCCACCTGACTACTGTGTCCTTTAGTGACGCAGAAGCCGGCAGATGTAGCCACAGTACAGCTGGGAGTTGGTGGTGTCATTGGATTCCTATTTTACAAATTGTTGGAACGTTGTCCCACGCTTGTTATATTTGTCCCCTCCATTGTGGTCCCTTCTGTCCTCGATAAACGACCGACACATCCCTCTCCCTCCCTTCATCATCACAGTGATAAATACCTGGCTATCTAGCAGTGAAAACACCATGAGGGGAGAATTTATCAACACTGGAGCAGACCGAATCTGCAGCATAGTAACCAATCGGCTTCTCGCTTCAGCTTGTTCAGTTAAGCTTTGAAAATAAAAAATAGAAGCTTATTGTTTGGCATGCCCAGCTGCTCCAGATTCTGTCTGCTCCAGTATTAGTAATTCCCCCCAATGGCTTTGAAGATGCCGTGCAATGAAAGCTGTGCCTCGTCATTTCAAAGGGCCAACTTATTGGTGGCAAAAAAAAAACATGCTCCAAAATGACCTGATCCAGTTCTTTGCATTTGCAGTAATACTTCTTTATATCTAATAATGCGCTAATAGTGTACGGTATTCAGGATTATTAGTAGCATCATCATTGTTCTACCGATACAGAGTACCGTGTATTTGAAATAGGAGTACCAAGTGTATTACTATTTTTGGTAGTAGTATTATTTTTTTTGAGTTTCTTATTACTGTAGCAATCAGTAGGAGTAGAATTAGTAGTGTTAGAAATAGAAGTATTATCAGTAGGATTAGTAGAATTAGTAGAAATAGACGCAGTAGTAGGATTAGTAGAATTAGCAGGAGTAGTAGTAGTAGCAGGAGTAGAAGAATTGGTAGCAGTAGTAATATTAGTAGCAGGAGTAGGATTAGTAGAAGTAAGAGTAGAATTAGTAGTAGTGTTAGTAATAAGAATAGTGGGAGTAGCAGGAATAGTAGTAGTAGTAAGAGTAGAATTACTAGTAGGAGTAGCAGCAATAGTAGTATTAGTTGTAGGATTAGTATTGGCAGTAGGAGTAGTAGTAGAATTAGTAGGAGTGGTATTTGTAGCTGGAGTAGTATTGGGAGTAGGAGTGGTATTTGTAGCAGGAGTAGTAGTAGGAGTGGTATTTGTAGTAGGAGTAGTATTGGGATTAGTAGTGGTATTTGTAGCAGGAGTACTAGTAGGAGTGGTATTTGTAGCAGGAGTAGTATTGGGAGTAGTAGTAGGAGTGGTATTTGTAACAGGAGTAGTATTGGGAGTAGGAGTGGTATTTGTAGCAGGAGTAGTAGTGGGAGTAGGAGTAGTAGCATTGTTGGTATTGGAGCAGCAGCTTTATTATATTCTTTGTCACTTTTATTGTCTTTCAGCGACAGCGGCCAAGGATCACACTTTGATGTTTGACACATTGAAGGACTGGAGGCTGGAACTGGACCGCACCAAAGGAAACCTGGGCTACAAAGCTCTGTCTGTCAATGAGACATACGGGGTGTCAAAGAGGTACGGATTCTGTTGGTCACAGTTTTAGGAAGCAATCCCTGCTGCCATGCCGTACTGATGTAACCCCTTAACTTCCTGTTTCTGCAGGTTACCACCTTACTTTGTGGTTCCCATATCTCTGCAGGAGGAGAGCGTCTCTAAATTCCAGGGCCAGGGAATACCTGTAAGTATTTCTGTCTTTTTTTTTTTCTCCTTCCAGGTTCAGTTGGACAAGGAAATGGTCATTAGCAGACTCTCCTTGTATGATCATAGCTGACATAGAACATGGTGGTGGAAATGTATGAGCACTGTTGCGTTCTATTTCTGAATGTTGTCCCATGTGAAGATCTATAAATGATTTGCAGTTTATATTGTTACTTTGGAGGCTGAACATATTGCAGGTGCCAAACCACTTCTAATTTTGCGAATGCCTGCGACCAATGTGCGAATGCCTCTGTTTTTTTTTTTTACACATTTATCACAAGTGTTATGAACCTGATTGTGGCAGAAGTAAGAAGTGATGTGCACCACTTTCCCCCCCCCCCCCCATGCATCACTGCACCAGATCAGTCAAGCAAAACAAATGGCAAACACACTCATCAATGTCACATTTTCGGCAGAAGACGTGTATCTAAACCTCTGTTTTTAACCTTAGCGCTGAGACAAGTTTTTTTGCATGCTGGCTGGTGAGTGTGCTGGGAAACTTTTTGCTATTACTGTTTAAAGCTTTTTTGTTTTGCTCCACTTTTTAAACAGGGGCAGTTATCTAAAAAGCATTTCCCCAAGTAGTATTAAACTTGCAAACTTTTTTTAAAATAATGAATCCAGATCAAACAAACATACATCTGCCAGCAAAGATTTTCTTTAACATTTTTGTCCAAGCGCTTACAGTCGTCATATTTCCGAACAGCTCCAACTTTCTCAGCTCAGCTTCCCTGAACTTCCTGCCCAGTACAAGATCACAAGGGCGGTCCATCTAATAGCTTGGACCCGATTGGCCAGAAAGCCGGCTCCATGCTTTCTCGTCTGGTGACAAGGGAGCATGGAGCCGGCTAATCGGGAAGCCGGAGGGCGAGTCATTACACGCCTCCCGGCTATTCAGGCTTCCTTAATGGGACTTCCGGTATTGGCATTCAGTATTGGCGAGTACCGAACAAAAAATAATCGGTACTTGTAAATCGATACTGAAAAACCGGTATCGGTGCATCCCTAGTTCTCATTCATCCAGGTCATGCTATCTATAGCTAGTAATAGTTGGTCACAATGAGCTGGACTTTTTCTGTAATGCTGAAGATGTGTCAGCTTCTCCAACCACTTCTTTAGTTCCCCGGTTTGGGCAGATTCCCCAACGTTTATATCCACACAGGTAGTACAGATGACATTGGAACTGAACGAGTGGCCTGGAGAAGCTACAAAACATCTTCAGCATTACAAAACAAGTCCACCTAAATGTGATTACCTACTATGAGCCGTATTGGGAGTACTTACAGAAACTTGCAGCACTAACAGCCAATGCATAGCAAACAATGACAGCAGGCTGAATGTGCAGTGGCTTTTAGTGCCGGTCTTATAAGAGGGTTTTTTTTGTTTTTGTTTAGTTTTTTTACGTGCTTGTAAAACACACTGATTTTTTATCGAAGCCCGTGGACGTGGTAAAACACACTGATGATGTAGGCCAGGGGTAGGCAACTTCGGCATTCCATCTGTGGGGAAAATACAAATCCCATCAGGCTCTGGGAGGCTTGCCTGTGGCTGTGAGTCTTGCAATGCCTCATGGGACTTGTTATTCCACAACAGCTGGAGTGCTGAGGTCGCCCACCCCTGATATAGGCAGCGGCTGCAGGCGGCCCAGAAGGCTCTAAAGCCGTCACTTCCAGAAGTTTCAATTTGCAGCAGGATTGTTGCCCTGATATCTTAACAGAGGCAAACGGCTGCACCAGGCGGAGTTTCTGTAAGCACTCCTAATTCCCATTCCCTGCCCGTGTTTAGTTTGCAGCATAGCAGTTGGTGACAGGGTCTCTTTCACAGGTCTCTGTTATATTTTTATTTTATTGCCTTTTTATGTAATATGTTTCTCATTCACTTGGATTTAGATTTGGTGCTGGTCTACTCAGCATGGCTCAGCTTTGTGCAAGATGAGTTCCCTTCCTAAAGAGGTGGACGATATCTCCATCCAGGAGCAGAGAGCTTTCCTTGACAGGTGTGTATTATGTGTTGGCACCTTCGGGGTGCTTCTGGTTTTGATATGTTATTATATGATTGACTTGCTCAGTGGGGCAGACTATGTTTAAAGCTGAACTCCGACCTTGCCTTCAGTCTTGTACATTTGTACCAGCTCCTCTCCTGGACTGAAATACCTTCTTTTTTTTTTTTCATGCACAATGTGAGCTTCTCACAGTGTGCATTATAAGCTGCAGCAAGTCAGTTGGAGCCCCCCTCATTTCCTAGCTGGAGGACATCCAGCATCATCTAGTTAATTTAGTTCTTTCTTCCCCAACCTGATTTGTCCCTGGCCCGCCCCTTTCATCCATTGGAGTTCCATTATTTTGATCATGGAGGCTCAGCATCACACACGAGCATTGCCTGGCATGGTCTGCTGTATTCAGGAAGCTATGTACAGCTCCTCCCACCAGCCATGCTCTTCCTGCATTGCATAGAGATCCAGTGCTGATGTCACTGGGCCGTAAATAAGTTCAGTAATGAAGATGGAAAGGTTTAATTATCATGTTATTGGAGGAGGGATGAACCAAGGAAGGCAAATTTATAAGCAGAATAAACTTCAGCTTTATGCAAAAGTTTTTCCAGTGAGAATGTTCACCGTTTAGATTATTGTGACCCCCTAGTTAGAGTAATTGGGAGGTTCTGATCTGCCAAATGCATTGCTTTTTTGGGTCCCAAAGCGCTGAAAAGAGGTTAAACTGCATATCAGTTGGAGATTAAAGGGAACCTGTCCCGAGAGAAACATATAGGCTGCAACAGCCGACTGCCTCATGAATATGCTACTTGCCAGATTCTTATGGTGATACGTTGGCTTCAGTGCCTAGGCTTATGAAACCCGAACAAGTCTAGAGATAGGAAATTGTCACTAGTATACTACACGCTTGCCCTAGGACTTTGACTCAGAAATATCGAACCCAGATATCGTTAGTCAACTATATGCATTGTGGGCTCTGCTTGCTGCACAAAGGCTGTCCATTACTCTTTTACTTATCATACGAGTCTCACTCATGAGGAACCTTTCACTGTTTGTTTAGTCTCAATAGTTTTTGATCAAGTTGATGTGTTGGAAGCAGAAAAAAAATGGGCAAGTGTAAGGATTTAAGCGGGCCAAATTGTGTTGACTGGGTCAGAGCGACTCCAAAACTGCAGCTCTTGTGGGATGTTTCCGGTCTGCAGTGGTCAGGACCTACCAAAAGTGGTCCAATGAAGGAAAACTGTTGAACCGGCGATAGGTTCATGGGCGGCCAAGGCTTATTGATGCACGTGGGGATCAAAAGCTGGCCCATGAAGTCCGATCCAATAGAAGAGCTACTGTGGAACAAATTCTGAAAAAGTTCATGCTGGTTCTGATAGAAAGGTGTCTGGACACAGTGGATGCAGTTTGTTGCATATGGGGCTATGATGTCGTAGGCTGCTCAGGACGCCCATGCTGACCTGTGTCCACTCCACTGCTAAGCGTCTACAGCGCCGACAATTGGCACGTGAGCATCAGAACTGGACCACAGAGCAATAGAAGAAGGTGGCCTTATCTGATGAATAACATTTTATTTTACATCGTGTGTGTGTGTCACTTACCTGAGGAAGAGATGGCACCAGAATGCACTATGGGAAGAAGGAAAGCCGGCGGACGCAGTATGGTGGGAATCACGTGGATGTCACTTTGACACATACCACCTCCCTAAACATTGTTGCTGACCAAGTACACCCCTTCATGGAAACGGTATTCCCTGATGTTAGTGACCTCTTTCAGCAGGATAATGCACCCTGCCACACTGCAAGAATGGTTTTAGGAACACAACATTGAGTTCAAGGTGTTGACTTGGCCTCCGAATTTTCCAGGTCTCAATTCAGACGAGCATCTGTGGGATGTGCTGGAAAAACTGAAAAAAAGTCTCATCCATGGGGGCCTCAACTCACAACTTAAAGGACTTAACAGATCTGATATTGACCGCTTGGTACCAGACACCACAGCATACCAGCAGAGGTCTAGTAGCGAAAGGGAGGGGGGGGTGACATACTCAATATTAGGCGGGTGGTCATAATGTTATGGCTGGTGTGTGTGTGTGCGCGCGCGCTGTATGTACTGCATATATGTATTTATAAAAAAATTTCATTATCTGTACATGAGTTAAACTGTACATGAGTTCAGCAATCTAGGAATCTGTCTCTTTTACCCCTGTGTAATATTACCTGCTAATAATCCAGTTTGAATGTGTGTTATAGTGTAGAGAAGACGCTTCACAGACCTCCCTATGAAGAAGTGAGAATTGAGGACCTGTCATTATGTCTTCCCTCGCTGTCAGAAGTCCAGGCATCCTACACTCGCTTTAAACAGCTGTTTCTTATCGGTAAGAATGAAGACGCTAATACAGTGATGTGTGATTTTATATTTTAAAGTGCCTGCGCGTCTTACCCTTTTCCTTTTTTGCACATCTCTAATTAAAAAAATGAAAGGGTCAGTCCATCCAAAACTGATGACACATATTATATCTGGTGTTATGTTCACCTGAATTCCCGGCACTGCCCACCCACCACAGCTAGTATGATGGATTTGAAAATAGTTTTGCACTATGTACACCACATTAGGAGAACAGGCACATAGCATGAGGGGTGCCATATATTTAATGCACATTTAAAGTGTAATTAAACTGCCACCCTCCCAAAAAAATAAAAACTTTCCTTATGTTTTTAAATGTCTGCATTTCCTTTGTGTATTCGACCTTCTCTTATACATAAATCACCTGTCAATCATCCTTCCCTGTCCATCATCCTTCCCTGTCATTGATGCCATCAATCTGCAGGCACAGTAAGCCATGTTTATTCTTGGCTGAGTATCCTCGCCAGCACTGCTCAGGGGCGGGGCTAAGCTGAAGTGGATCACATGTCCTGTGATGTCTCTTTGGCATTTTCAGGCCCTCCCTCCAGGGCCACACAGAGTGGTGTGAAGCTGTCAGTCAAACATCTGCCTGCCTGTGGGGCAGATCATATGTTTCACACAATGCACGTCATGTGCGCCTGTGGATTTGGTCGTAGCTAAAAGGATGTTCCCCGGTCATGTGACCCGCTTCTGCTCTATAAATATAATAATAAAATCTGTAAAATTGTGTCCCTGTTGCAGATTTGTCTTCGTGTCATGTCTGGAGAAACTGATGTTATTGTGACAGTACAGCTGCCATTTCAGCCAATTCACAGTAATTGGATGAAATTCTAGCAGGTGGCCCTGCCGGCTCGACAAAAGTCGATAACTCAATTAATTTTGGTCGAAAGAACCAGGCTACAAATTGTCAGCAGAACAGTGATTGCCGCCAATCGGCTACAGTTAATACTTAGGTATTCTGTACAATAGCCTGGGAGGTGAAGGGGGGCCTTTGTCTATTCATGCTGTTTAGGGTATATGGACGAATCTGCTATAGATTTCTTCAGCGCTCAAACTGAACACGATAAATGTAATAGTGTGTGGCCAGTTTTAGTGAGGGCAGATCTCCACCTGGGTAGCAGTAAAAACGCAACAGGGGTTCTAATCCTACCCCACTCCATCCATGTGGCTGGACAGACTGCGGATTTTAAAGTACATATGCCGTGTTATATCTTATACTTTGTTGTTTTGGTTATGTGTGTGGGAAATGCTTATTATTTCTGATCTTTATTTTATCTTTGTAGAGAACTCCAATGACTTCTGGGACACAGACTCCAAGTGGTTTTCATTGCTGGACACCAGCAATTGGCTGGAAATAGTCAGGTGCGTCTACTACAATACACACACACACACGGGCAGTGTTATGATCTGGGGTTGCTTCAGTTGGTCAGGTCTAGGTTCAGCAAATGTATATTTCCAGAAAAATGAGGTCAGCTACCTACCTGAATATACGGAATGACCAGGTTCTTCCATCAATGGATTTTTTCTTTCCTGATGGCACATTGGACATATTCCAAGATGACAATGTCAGGACTCATCGGGCTCAGATTGTGAAAGAGTGGTTGAGGGAGCATGAGACATCATTGTCACACATGGATTGGCCACCACAGAGTCCAGACCTTAACCCCATTGAGAATCTTTGGGATGTGCTGGAGAAGACCTTACGCAGAGGTCCGACTCTCCCATCATCACTTGGTGAAAAATTAATGCAAGTCTGGATGGAAATAAATGTTGTGACATTGTATAAGATTTTCGAAACAATGCCAGGGTGACTGTGTCCCGTAATCAAAGCCCAGTGAGATATGAGTGTGTGACTTTTTTTCTGGCCAAGCTGTGTGTGTGTGCATATGTGTATATATAATGTATATAATTTTATTGTTTTATACTCTGTATGCCACCCCATGCCAAAGTAGCTCTCTCCTGCAAGGCACAATTGCAGTTGAGCAGAGGTCAGCTTGTTTGTAAAACAAAGCCATGTGATCATTGTGATTGGCTGTCATAGTGATTACCTGGAAAACCATGCTGATTGGTTTTAGCAACGTAACTAGTAGCTAGCACATAAGCAGTATATTATAAATAAATTGCTGTCCGGAAATGGTTCAAAGGACATTTATTACAGGCCTAGCCAATCGTCAGCCTGAACCTGTCATGTCTGCTCCAATGACCATCAGCAGTTCTGCCTGGTAACTGTCAATGTAACTAGATTTACTTAGTTGCATAGTATGAGGTTGAATAAAGACATTAGTCCATCAAGTCCAACCTATTAGGATCTCATTCTTATTTCATTTATGTAGTCACCTGACATCAGTGCCCCGTGCATTGCCGCTTCACCATTAGGTTATGTGATCCAGAGCGCCACATGATATGCATCTCTCTATAATTCCAACTTGTTTGGTTAGAGATTATGAAATGTTAGAACAATGGCTTCCAGTACAGATCCCTATTTATCAGCAGGATTTTCTTTTTGTTTCCACTGATATAAGGGCTGTGCCAGGCTTGATTAAATTTGCCAACAACTATATATAGTTAGAGGTCCTACCTGATCAGATACAAATGGAATAGATGCAGAAATGGTGATAAATGTATGGAGGTTGTACACCTCGTATGTTTTGGAAGACTACATTTACGCCTCTGGCTTTTCTATGCAACACCTTTTTGTGTTAGGCTGGGTTCACACCTAGGCGTATCGAATATGCGCGTTTGTACCGCGATTCGCGGTAAAAAAAACCTTGTTACAAACGTGCGTTTCCGAGGGCTACCTGGCTGTATCCCAATGGATACGCACGGCAAATACGCCCCAAAGAAGCTCCTGTACTTCTTTGGGCGTAGGGCGTTTTGCAGCACGTTCCTACGCGCTGTAAAACGCCCAGGTGGGAACCATGCCCATAGGCAATCATTGGTTTTCACATGTTGAGCGTTTTACAGAACGTAGGAACGCGCTGTAAAACGCCCAGGTGTGAACCAGGCCTTACTATTTCATCCTATGGAAGGTACATTTTGCTGTGAACTGCACCAAGAGGTTTTTGTTTCAAGGCACAGTCCACCTTTGTAATAAATAAATGATAATAAATGCACCAACAATGAAATAATAAAAATGTGCTGGTGCAATCTGTGAATGCCTCTGCCGTGGAGGCAGATGGTACTTGTAGTCTTCCTATTTTATAGATCCCTGTGAATTCATGACGTGGCTGTGAGGGTTTTGCCAGACTAATTTATACTGCATTAAAGTCAAAACACATTTGCGCACCCTCGGGTTTAGCTAAGTGGGTGGGGGGTTGGGCAATGCTACCATGTTTCATCCTAAACCTGGGTGATACATGCAACATGTTATGAAAGGCGGGCTGGGAATTTATAGTGAGGTGTCTTTTAAAAATATCCTGCTTTGGTGTGACTTCCAGCAAATGTCATCTTCCATAAGAAAGAATGGCACCACATGTAAGACTTGTCTAAAGTACTCTGCAGCTGCACCACATGAAAAGCAGAGATGTCAGTACTTGGAGTACAAGCTCTACGTGACTCACATGAAAGGAACAAAGTAACCGCTGTCCTAAAGAGAACAAGAGACGACAATGAACACTTCTTATGCAAGGCAGTGGCAAAAACATAATTGTAATGTCCTATGACTAATTGTACTTTTTTTTCTCATATTTTGTCTTATTTGGGTTTCCAGGATAGATGCACCAGACCTCTGTCCATGTGTAATCCAGCACTGATACAACCATTACAGCTTTTCATTAATATGTGTATTGTATTCTGTGTTATAATGGGAGCAATGGAAGGTGTATCTGTAATATAGCTGCTGCTGTCCTAATTATAATGCAGAGCAGTATGGGTGCACAATACAGACGAATGACTCCGGATTTTACTTGCATTGCTTTGCTTTCTGACGTGTTTTACGTTTGGCTATTACAGGCAGTGTCTAAAGAAAGCCATTGAAGTCATTGACTATTTAGAGACCCAAAAAATCAATGTTGTTCTTAAAGGTAAGTTGAGTAGAATGCTGACGTGTGTATAGCCTAAGCAAGGAACGCGTGTGCATAGTTTTAACAAGTTTTTTTAAGATGACAAATGTATTTCAGGGCCGATTCACACCACATGCATTGGGGCTGCGTTGGCTGTTTCCAGTGCAGCCCCAACGCAAGTTTCCCTTGTCACGGGCAGGATCGGTTCACAGTACCGCATTGCAATGGGAACGCAGTGGTATGCACTGAAAAAAAAGTATGGCTGCGCTGCGCAGGGGTTTGATGTGGAGAAACCTCCTCGCACTCCACTGTGCTTGTAAAACTGAATTAAATGTTGCTTGTGACATTTCAGTGCATTTAGTGCAGCAGCTGGTGTGAATTGGCCATTTATTGGTGTGCTGCACTGTTTTTAAAGCAGAAGATTTTTTTGCCTTTCCTGGGTCCTCCCTTCACTCTCATCATGCTAACAACATTTTTTAAGGAACATGCTTCTGTTTTCATTACATACATCATTTTAGACTTAATAATATCTCCGTGGGTCTCTGTGCACTTCTATGCAGTGCATTGAAGAGAACCAATCTGGTACAAGAAAGGCTTTAACGGTATTTATTTATTAGAAGTATTTATATAGCGCCAACAATTTACGCAGCGCTTTTACATAGCGTACATTGTCATCACTCCCTCCCCTCATGGAGCTTACAACCTAAGGCCCCTATCTCACATGCATACACTAGGGCCAATTTAGACAGGAGCCAATTTACCTTCCAGCATGTCTTTGGAGTGCGGGAGGAACCCGGAGTATACCCATGCAGAAACAGGGAGAACATGCAAACTCCTTGCAGATAGTGACCTGGCCAGGATTCAAACCAGGGACCCCAGTGCTGCAAGGCATGCATGGAAGCCTTATGTATAGTTAAAAACTATTATGTTTTATTACATGATTTAAAAGTTACATATCAAAAAAATGTAAAATGCATCATAGTGGCAAAGCCTCCCAACATGACCATGCAGATTAAATATGGGTTACATAAATATCTGTATTCACATTAATCATATTGCAATATCCATAAGAGTCCTCATGGTGGAAACTAAACAATCCTGTAATGGTCGGTGAGCCTCAATGCGCTTCCCTGTAATCACTTCTTCAAGAGGAGGGAGGATCCTCAATATTTGGTGGAAGGCAGTGCTGCCGTTATATACAGTATACAAGGAAAAATGCAACGACTTACTGAAAGGGTATAAATCCTTTTTCTCTCTATGGCAATGTGTGGGGGTGTTGGTATGTCAAGTCTTCTAATCTACACTTGGGATTCTATTATACTGTATGTAATGCAGGCAGACTATGGATGGTGGGAGTGGTTGGCAGGGTGCTGTACATAGCTTCCTGGAAACGTCACAGAAAAATCCAGCACCCCAGGCAGGAAGCAAGGAGTTATACAAATGCCAAAATGCCTCCAAAAGCAGGTGTGAGTCTTGAGGAGTGGCAGTGGTGGTTGTATGCAGACTACTCTAGGTAGTGGGCCAGAGACTGTAAGGCTGAGGAGGAAAGATGGTGATGCTGAATGTCCTCCAGCCAGGAAATGAGGGGGCTCTATCTGACTTGCTGCAGCTTCTAATGCACATTGTGAGAAGCTCCCTGTGTGCAGTAATATCAGAGTAAGCCATTTCAGTACAGGAGAGGAACTGGTACAACTGTGCAAGACTGAAAGGAAGGCCGGAGTTCTGCTTGAGTGTTGTGGTCTTGTAGTATCAGCATCCTGGAAACCATTCCCTCCAGCTACCCAGAGAACATACTGGTGGGTTGTTTGGGTCACTCTGAAATACGCTTTTATGATTGTTTGTGTGACTGTGGAAGAAATGTTCAAATGGAATCTGCGGATAATGACTCTGTAAGGAGCTTTCTAATGTATTGCTGCTATACAAATACGCAAGCAGTTCTTCATAGCTTGGGATACTGAGAGCAATATGGAGGTTTCCATGGTTGGCCAGGTTGCCTGGCTGTAATGCTGACCCCATGGTGTAATAATTATTTTTGTAGGCACTGGCACACAAGAGGCATGCAGATTGGAGAGACAGGGCCCGTGATCTGCATACTCTTTCTGGGCCTCTCTGAAAGCGTGAAATCCATTGGTACACCAAGACAGCCAGGCAACTTGTTTTTTTTAGAAGTGGACAGTAATGGCAGACTACATTTCTCTTACTGCAAGGATCCCAG